CTTAAAAACTCGTAACTCCAGTTACTATAGCGCTATCGCTAATTCACACACACTATCTCTTCTAAGTCTGTTGTGTCTTTACCACTTGTCACATAGTAGCCCTTCCAACTCCATAGATCCCTTAGCTTCCGCGCTCCATGACTCCAGTCCTTGCTGGCTGACACCTATCTCACGGCTAATTTGGAGCTGCTATGCAACAGTTTACAGCAATGTGTGCTCCTAACTGCTAACTGCGGACTCAAAGACTCTCCAGACTGACTGGCTTGTCCCATTGGTCCTCATGATAGAGCCTTTGGATGGACCCAAAAGAAAACATGGTTTCACCCCGTTCTTCTACTGTTGCATGTATCAGCACAGATCACATAGAAAACACAGTTTCCAGCAGTACTTCCACTGGTTACAGTGTGAATCTGTGAATCTGTCACAGTGTTATCCCTGTACAGATAAATTGCAAAGAGTAATGCAGCATTTGAAAATTGTTGGCTGAGTATTGCATCTATACACAGATGATTAAGGCACAGGAACTTTTCTTTTGGAACTCCTGCTGCATTTTCCATCAGACTTCTAGTATCCTTTTGTATTCTATTAATCTCTGGACACTTGCATCATCGAGATTAACCCTTTAAAAGTGAAGTGGTTGATATATATATATATATATACACACACACACCACCTAATTTAACTTACTACAACTCGTTAGTCTGTAGATATGGTGTACTTGTGTGTTTCATATGGTTCTCACAATAAACAGCATTAACTGGTTGGTCTTTGTAGCAGAGATGCAATGTGTTTCCTGTGAGATATGAACTGGATTCTTATATGTTATTTAGATGAAATTCAGTCTTTACAGGGTTAACAGATTTAGCAGGAATAACCCAATCCTTGAAAGGTTAAGCAGAATCACCTAGCTGCACTGGCTGAGGGAAGGGCTGCTATCCTTGTTCCATTTATCTATGGAGACTATTGTTCCTAAGAATGCACGCAACATGAACACTCCTGCCAACATAAACTGGCATACTAAAACTGCAAATTCAGTCCATGTACAATGCATACAATTCTCATGCCAGTTAACAAACTATTCCTCATTTAAATGAGCAACATCATTGTTAATCAGTATTACATCCAACCATCCAGCCACTTCAGGCATACCTTTAACCTTCAAAGGACGAATGTCCAATATATCAACACTTGAGTGACTTGGCAGGTGGCTTAATGTCCGACATGTTGACAGTCCCACATCTTTTTCCAACGAGCCCTCCTGGGGCCCTGTGTAAGTGCTTAGGCCAACCAAAGCATGGAATTTTACTCTGCAAGGTTTCAACATTATCTTTGTACAATCCATGCATCCTGTGCATACACCTGTTCTAATCACATGCAACAATTTGCCGAAACTCTGAAGCCAGACTGACATGTGGTAGCATAGTTGGTTAAGGAATTACAATACAAGCCAGGAGGTTACAGGTTTAATTCCAGATGAGGTCATTTGATTTTTAAATTGACCTAATCCTTCCAGCTGCACTATGGCCTTGCAGTTGACTTGAGTACCAGGAATCTTCCTGGGGGTAAAGGACGGCTGGTGCATATGGCTGACAACCTCACCACCATCTGTGAACTGACTGTTTAAAAAATGTGGGAGCCTTGATGTCTCACAACCCTATGGGGCCCCACAGCCTGTTACAGGGACAGCTTTACCTCAAACACTTAACGCAGACAGCAGGTATGTTTTGTTTCTCATTCCATTTTCAGTGTTTGTAACAGTAGGACAGTTATTCATACTTGATTAATGTACATGGGGGAAGTAAACTATGTGAGGGGAAATGAAAATTGTTTATGATTAGGTCTAAGTCACAGCTGTCAGCGCTGGATTGTTACTGTCCATCTGTAATTTTCCTTGTTCATGTGCATATGGAGCAGTTTTATGAACAGGGAAGAAAAATGAGAAGACAGTGTTGCTACTGAATGAGATATTCTAGTGTTCGATGGCAGATTCGGTTCCTTCTCAGTTTCTTTTTGTTTCCACACTCAAATGCATTCAGTAGACCAGTTATCTGCAATCAGTATGGCAGGTCCTTCAAAGATTGTCCCTTATAATATGCACATTCCACCTGCAGAGGGCAACTTCAGATACAATGGGAAAGCTGTGAAGCCTTTGATCATCAAAGACTATACAACCCATATGGGTTATGTTGACTTAAGTGATAGCATGGCGAACAGCTATAGAATTAGCATGAAAACCTAGAAATTGACGAAAAAACTCTTCTTCCATTTCAGAATTACTGTTTTTTTTTTTTACTTTTTCCATCGTCTGGTATTCTAGAAACTAGAAAACACATCGTTTTGGANGTCGGTTAACACCACATATACACGGTGCCAAATCCCAGAAGACTGCTTTCTTCATAGTCACCGCCGTGAAAGCCTCAATTCTTACATGGATCTGTTTCTGTCCTCGTGTGAGGGGTGCAAGACGCCTACTCAGTTGGGTCCCTTTGAAAGAGCTAACCTCAAGCACTAGACAACCCATCAGATTCACACAGCTATTTAATTATTATGTTCATTTGTGAGACCTAACCAAGAATTCATATAATCTCTACAAGTCCTGGGGGGGGGGGTCATAATATGACCCATCTGAAATTTAGGGAGCAGCTGGTTAGGATCTAGTTGTTCTCTCCCAAGAACAGAACAGTGAAATCTGTGGTGTGCCAAGGGGTCAGACCAGCAGTTCAGATTCAGTTGAGCCAATTTGAAGTAAAACATCCTCTGCGATGGTCATTCAAACGGGGGAAAAAATGATATCATGTGTTCCAAATGAAGAAACAAAGCAAAAGAAAAATTGTCTGCTACTGCAAGAAATGTGACTGTGGTCTGCATGTTGTGCCATTCTTTGAGCTGTGTCACACAAAGTCCAACCGTGAATTGAACTGGTTGTTCTTGCATCCGATAGTGCACTGGATGTATCATATGATCTACAGCAATGAAGCAGACCTCCTCCAATCCAGTGTAGAGCGTGTGATATACTGCACTGTTCGTGAATGAAGTTCTATGCCTACAGTCCACGCAGCAACATATGAACTATATTAGGGATGATGTTGAATATGGGGTGAAATTGCATATGCTGCTTAGGCAGGAATTCATATTTTTAGGTTCATAAATTTTCTGTAGGTACTTCATTTATAGAAGAATTTTATAAACCTGGTGCAAATAAAAATATGGAATTCGGCCAAAAATGATAACACATTTTTAAAAGTATGAGGTATTCATATTATACTGAAATATGTAAATAAACAGCGGCGATAGATATTTTTTTCCTAGTCTGATGTGATTAGAATTTCGAACTACCACTTTTAATTCTGTCCATGTGCCAAGCAAGGGTTTAAATGTCCCTTATTTAAAAGGTTAATACAATAAAAATCTTGAACTACTTGCTGCATATTTTGAGGCCAAATGACTACTGAGGGAAATTTCACTTCATTCAGAGCTGTCATGACACTGTAACTGTTTGGCACTCTGTAGATTCAGAAATATCCTGCACATCTGCGATGTCATGACACTGGCCACTCATTTCAATGCAAAGTTATTATATCAGTAATTCATGTTCAGCTGTGAGGATGCAGTTCTGACTAGCTGGGTGTCCCACTTTATAAATGATGTCGTAATTTCTCTCACAGCAGTACCACTTAACCCGAGACATTCATTAAACTCATATAATGATGTAAAATTAAAACTGATATATTTCTTATACATATACTAATATATATATAAATATTTTCAATTTCTTCTTCACTATCACTAAACCATATTATGTTACTGCTTTCTAATTTACTTCATTTGAATGACAAATAAAGGCATACTAACAAACCACAAATTTTTCACCTACATTCACTAATACCAAACATTACAAATGAGCTATATGTACATTCCAATACTTTTAGCTTCAAGAACAAAACTTCTGTAAACACAAAAATGTCACTTGTAACTTGTACAACATGGACTAACATAGCATAAGTATAGATGGCATGTTCACGGAACACAATACTTCTATTTGTTGCAACTTACAAGTAAATGCACTTGTAATTTACAAGTCCATAATTTTATGGAACAGATCCCAGTACTTTACATGATGTGAGACATATTTCAACAAGTACTGGCTATATTAAAATTCTTGACAACAATCACAGATCTGAAGTCCAACAGCAGAGAGCATGAAGGTTACTGTCTTATGGGACATGATGTTGCATGGTCTGGTAGAAATTTAATGACATTTCAGAGAGGTGTACAACCTCCATCTTCATGGTCAAAGAGCTCACTGAACCAGCAATCAGAGTGCTTGCTTGTTTGGCTTACTGTTTGACCCTAAAGATGAATGTAGTAAGTTCCCCCAAAATGTGAGTAGACTTCTACCGGACTATGAACATCACATTCCAGAAGACGTAATCACAGTTTCTAAGAACATTTCATGTTACATCCACATTTTTGCACAACACATTTTCAAGATAATTATAATGAAATTATACTCCTAATTATTCATCTCATAAACATCAATCATCTCTTCTCTGTATAAAACACCTTTCTTCTCCAAAAAGGAAAGTGGTATGCAAGAAAACCATCTTCATTATCATTAGACTATGTGGCCATAGAGTGGAGAGTGAAGAACACAAGCCGGGGGGG